TCCATTTTCTCAAAGATCATTTAGTATATTTAAGTTAATTATTTGCAGAATGTCACATTTTCCACTCTAAATTGTTTAGAAAATTCCAGGTTGTAGAAGTACTCTTGTCAGACAAAAGGAATAATTTTGCTTTACTGAAGGATCTGCATCATAGTACCATCTTCTACTAAGAAGAAAACCCCAAACAATATAATTGGCATTCATGTACAAACTGCTTAAATGCTCTCAAGTTCTGCCTGGCTTCAGAATAGCTGAACAGTACCTGAAGTATCTACTCTCCATCCCAATTTGTATATTTTAAAAGGCATTAAATTCTTGAATGAATCATTAGGAAAACAATTCAAATGATGTTAAACTGATACTAATTTTGCCTCATAGGATAGATGTGAGCTTAATGTTTGCCAACAGCCAAATTCTTTCAAGATTTACACTCCATGAAGTTCAACATCAGTCAGGGAAGAATTACTAAATCAGGAGATACTTCAAGTACAGGTTTTGGCCCAAGACTATTTTTGGTCTTCTTCAGCTGCTTGTTTTGACAGCATCTAATCCCCCTCACACACCCACCAGTAGCCACACAATCTATCCATTTACACTTTCAAAGCAAATTGAAAATGAAACATTCTCATATAATTACTCACGGATGTCTGTAATACAAATCCAAAAAGTAACTGCAATTCAACTGTAATATTTCTTAGGGAAAAGAAAGGGACAGGGAGAAAAATCTTACAGAAATCCATTCAAAATGTGACTTTTTCCTACACTAATGCTCTCACTATCACCCCATAAAAATTAAAATTAAAAAAATAAAAATGAAATCTAATTCCCAAAGAGCTTATCTACTCTATTTCAAACATTCCCATCAGAAACACAACACAGTTTCCACGTTTAGAAGACTTTTCATTTAGTGAGTTATTACAATCCCTGGTGAAAGAACAGTAACTGAGAAGGTCTTCTCCAGGGGCACAAGGCAGAGAGGGAAGCAGGAAGGTGGGTGAAGAGGGGAAATAGCCAGAGCTGGAACTGAAACAGTTCACCTTTGTCTGGAGAGCAGGATCACCCCCTCCAGGTTGAGGACTATGCTGAAAGAGTGCGCTGCTGTGGCATGCAGTGTGTTTCTCCATTCACACAGGAGAGGAACCTGGCCCACAGATGGCCTGTTCTCAGCTTTGTCAGCCACAAACAGACCTTTGAACTTTCTATTTATATAACAGTTTAGTGAGTTTAAGCCTCTTCCTGTATAACTGGCAGTTTGCTGGTTTTGCTGTAATTAGGCTACTTGTGATACATAATATAAAATAGGAAAAAAAACAAGAGGCTTGTTTCTCTGCAGGGCAAAAGTCTTCCTCCTTGCAACCACACAGCTAAGACGACACTGTTACCTGCTCATCTTATTTTACCTTGCCAGGTTTTGATTTACATACCTCAATATGCATTTTTCTGCTAAGTATTTTCTCAACTTCCGCTTTTTTAAAGATTGGATGACTTAAAAATATTAATACCTATGTCAATCAATACAACATAACCCAAGAATTTTTCTGCCTTTGTTTGTGCTAGTGAGGAGTATATATTCCAGGGTGGTTGGGTCTTTGTTGGGTTTTGTTGTTTCCCAGCTGCTGATTAATGACACCACCTTACTCCATAAGCAGGTTCAAATCTAGCCACATGGTCCCAGGCCACAGCAAGATTTCATTTACTTGGTTACCACAGACAAGCATGGAAAGTGATTTAAAAGATGAAATTTGATTTTTAACAGCAAGTGGTCCCCTTGGTGCACACAGGCATTCAAGCTTTTCATTATATCCATCTCCCTTCCTTTCTCCCTCATAGAATGCCTCATATTAAATGCAAGCCCAGGTGAACACTTCTTATTCATCCAGGAATCATAGCAGACTTCAGCTTTGGCCCTTTCATCTCACCCTGAGTTTACATTTACCTAAATTGTTTTGGGTATTTTTCAGTTTTTTTCAAGTCTGGCAAAACGTCCACAAGGATATTCGTGGCCTCATTTTACACATTTTACCCCAGTGTTAACAAAAACCCCACACCAACTCTCAGCTACCTTCCTAATCACATTCTCGACAAAGGGTCAATGAAACATCTCATTCTTGTACTACTGTGATCTCTCCTAATATGGGAAACTAAAGGGCTGATTCTGCAGTTTGTATCACCAAGACAAAGCTCCACGAATCATCCAGAAGTCCAGGTGAGAATTTCAGCACATGTGCAGTGGCACTGCACACTGTAACAATCGCAGCTCTTGACAAAATATGTTTCAAGAAGTGACACAAAAATGTACCTCCATTGGAGGTGGGGGGAAATTAACTCTATTTTTCCCATCAACGAGTAACTTTCACAAAGTCATTTCCTGGTATAAATGCAAGGCAAAGAAAGTTTACATCTTTTCATCAGATTAAAAAAAAAATCTGCTTAAACTATAAATATTTTTTTAATATATTTCTCAGGCTAACGATGTTTCTGTTGTACTTTGCATAGAGATAATACAAACACCCACACACAGTAGGCCTGAGCTTGCCTTCTTGGTGATTGCAGCATAGATTAGGAGAAGTTTTGGGTTTGCAAGGAATGCAGAAGAGGGTCCCTAATTGCCTTATAAATGCTTGTGAAACACGTTTTACAAAGGCCAGCTCACAGGCAGAAGGAGGGCAGCTTCGAAATAAGAAGTAGCAATTCACACATCATGTTATATGTACTTATTTGCAAATATTACAAAGCAACCACACCATATTGGATACACAGACAAAATTAATAAATCTTGATGGATGTGCATGCATCTTCCTGGGTGTGTGGTGATGATGTATGTATAACATATTACATACATACACGTGCTTGTGGACAGGGGAGCTAAATTTAATTCTCTGTAAGCTATGCAACTACTTGTCAGAGACAAAAATATTTACATGTATAATAAAAAACATGTCACATTTGTGTAGACATGTAGATTAGGTACCCACATATTATATATGCACTTACATATACTAATTGGATTGCTAAAAGCTAAATGCAACTTGATCTCTGCAGTGTGTGAAAGCCTGTGCCACATAGAGAGTTTGAGCAGATATCAAACTGTTTGAAACAGTCAAAGTAAAAATGTTCTCTCCTCATGAACCCTAAAACCACTAAAAACAATACATTTCACAGTACAAAAAAAACAGCAAATAGAATTTTAGAATGAGAGGCAATATATTCATATTTTATGGAAAAACCGAGGCACAAGAGTTCCCTTCTTTCTGATGCATATATCTAAATCCACATAAAACCATAGTCAAATGAAAGTAAGTTATTAAGCAAACACTAAAACTCAATACCTATAAATGCTTAGTATTTGAACTACACCCACATATTGGGTTGTAACAGCTTCTATTAAATTAATGTTACCCACATTATAAATTAGGCAAATTGTATGCAAATATCATTTGAGTGGTAATACGGTGGTTATCAGTTGTCTGCAAAATAAATTAGTGTAGCAGAGTAAAGATAGCGTAGTAGAAGCATAATATTTAATTGAGCACTAATTTTATTGTGATTATTACTTTTAAATAACAACAGCATGATTATTAAAAAGATGTAATACAATGGATTATGCAGAGCTGATAAAACATGCACATGATCCAAAACGCCTGCTTACAGATTAATATTGATATAGTGTAATTTATGGTTGTGAGGATTTACTCCCAATTGCTGTAAAATGGAACGTGACAGGTATTTGGTTCTGATTGCTATGGATTTGCAAGTATAGCTGTTAGACCGTGTTTGGCAAAATGATAGTCATTAACAAGATATATTACCTTTTTCCTAGACATACCTTTATATTATCAACAAAGTAAAGTAAACCCTCTGCAAAACACGAGGTGCAAATGCACATACATACACATATATAATCTGTGTGGCATTTAGAGATTAGGATCACAGAATACAGTATTTTAGTCTCTTTCTTCCTTGGCAAACTGCACTCCAGCCTAAAAGCATTTAACAAAGCAGTACCCAACCTCTGAATTTCCCCATGCATAGTTAAGGAATTATATTCGCTAAATTGAAAAGTAAAGAAAGAACCAATAAAAGCAGCCAAAGAATAAGCATAATCTCATTAACCAGCCACAGAAGTGACTAAGTACCTATCCAAATTCTAACTTTCCCAGCTACTTGTCACCCATCAAAAATTCCTTAACATTCACTTTGATAACAAGTTTACAATGTACTTAAACAGATGAACCGATCTTTTTAAGGTCTGCACCTATTTACAGAGCAATATAAACCTAAAATTCCATTCTTAAAATAAATGGAAATAAAGAAAAATGATGCAGAGACGGGCAGGAAAAAAAAAAAAAAAAAAAAAAAAAAAGAACTGTTATAATATCACGGGTACTGATCTTGCCACTTCCAAAACTAACTTCAATAACGCTTCATCTAGAATAGGAAACCAGCAAAACCAGCAACAGAAGCCCCCACACCGATCAGAGCTACAGCCGAACTGTGCCACACAGCGAAACTACAGTTGCGGTTCTCCCCGTGAAAGGAACATTGTCAGTGACAGCAGTAAACACAACATTAGCAAAGCCGCGATCCCGGGGAACATCGCCGCCCCTGCTCGGGAGGGGGCTGCCACCGCTGATCGCAGCCGGCACCCGGCACCTCTCGGCGCTGCCCTGCGGGCCAACTTCGCCCCCCGCCGCCGCGCTCCGAGGCTGCTCCCGGCCGGGGCCGGCGGCGCGGCCGCGGAGCGTGGCTGGAGCCGGCCGGCACCGGCTGCCCCGGCCGGCCCCGCTGCCCGCGGGCGCAGCGCGGACCCGCTCCCCGCTGGCACCGGGTGCTGCGCCCCTCAACAAAGGCTACGGCACCGGGGGAGCGAGCAGGGAAGGGTAGGAAGGAGGCAGCTGGAAGAAGGAGAGGGGTGGAGAGACGGGGAGGGGAGGTGGTGCGGGAAGGGGAGAAACCAAAACCAAAAAAAAAAAAAAAACCCACCACCCGAAAAAACCTACCACTGCTGCTCTAAGTCCCAGTCCCTGAAAAAGTCGAATAGGTCCATAACGATGTGGTGGGGAGACTCAGAGAAGTGGTGCCCCCTCCCCGCCCCGCAGAGCCGAGCCGAGCCGAGCCGGCGCGGCTATTGCTGGCCGGCCCGCATGGGCAGCGGCGCCGCGGGGAGCGGCGGCCGCCGGGGGCCGCGCGGAGCCGCCCGGGGTGGCGGAGCGCCGCCGCCGCCGCCAGCAGCGCGGCGCGGCTGTGCCCGGCTGGGAGAGGCAGCACAGCGGCGGCGGCGGCCCGGCGCACACACACACAGACGGGCGGGCAGCCTGCCTCGCACACCGCGAGGGGAGGAGCCGGGGCGGCCCGAAGCCGCGGCATGGAGCCGCCGCGGCAGCACCGCCGGGATCCGGCGGAGCCGCGAGCCCCCGCCGGGAGCGCGGGGAAGTTTAGCTGGAAGGAGCAACTGCGGGGACGCGGGGAGCGGCGCGGCTTCGCGCCTGCGGGAGACCTAGGGAGGCCTGGCTGGGGTCGGAGAGGGGGAGAGAGAAGGGGGAATAGGGGAGAGAATTTAAAAAAAGAAAAACAAAAAAACCAAACATACACACACACAAAACCAGACATCTATAATCCTATCATTTAATTGCCAAAGCCAGCTCCTGCTGGCTGTGTGGACAAACCTGCCTGCACGGACATGGCAAGGCCAGAGCTCCAGGTCAGCTGCGCTGGGAGATGCAGGATGGCAAGCAAGGGTCAGAGCAGAGTCTGGCTCGGGCAGCCCAGGAGGGCTGGATGAAAAAGGCCCTCCCGAGCCTCATGAGGTCTGGATCCAGGGGAGCACCCCGCTCTCCCACTGGGATGATGACCCTTCCCACTTGCCCTGTGATGGGCAGTGGCACAGCTCACCTACAGGCATTAGTCAGGACATTGGTCAGGGGCATCCCAGAGCCCCCTACAGAACTCACCCCACTCCCTCACCAGTCTCAGGGAGAAGCCAAATCCCAGGCTGCCCCTACACATAAGCAGAAAGGGTCCCACTGCTCCCTCTATCCCTAAATGAAATTATTCTCTACCCAGATTCACACTTTCATATCTGAATTGCCTTCTTAACAGTAACCAATATCTTATGATTTTTCACATCCATTTTATATTTATAATACTTCAAATATATATACCCACTGAGCAAACAAGTGCATACATTGGTTTTGCAAAGACAAGACCAAAGCCATCTTCATTTTTACTCCAGTCTTCCACAGAACCAATCACAGAACATCCCTGCATGCCAGTAAGTCTTGAGAACTTGGTGAAGTTTGAAATGACCCTTATTTTGGTGAGGGCCTGTCTCCACAGCTGTGTCCCAGCCCCAGGAGACTCAACACCGCTGGTCACAGCAGCCAGTGCTGCCACCACAGACAAGGCTCCAGCGAACCCTCTGGCAGGAACATCAGGTGCACACAGCATTTCCTTTCTTGCATCTGTTTTCACCACTGACTCAAACACACTACTCTGGCCCTAAAGCTTTAAAATATCATTAGTTGGCCCCTCTGTTCACTTATTTTAATGCCATTGTTGGTTTTAAAGGCCCCATTCAAAATCCTCATTTGTGGCCAATACTTTAGACCAACATGGGAGGTGGAGTCACACTTTCAAAATGTCACATTTCTCCAGATGCAGGTACAGAGAGGTTTTTTTAACAAACAATTACTATTAATAAAACTAAAAGCCTAGTGTGTCACCTACTCACATTCAATATCTTGCCTATTTTCAGTACATTGAACTTCAACCATTAAACTCAAACAACTTACTAAAAGCACTCGGTGCCACCACAAAAGATGGCAGTTCTGCTTCCTGTTTTCTCAGAGGGTCTTGTGGCTGCCAGCTGGTCACCCCTGCACCAAAGCAGTCTGCAAGAGGCTCTTACCCAACAGAAAGAAAAATCACTTCCCAGGTATAAGCACCTTCACTTTCTGAAAGCAAACCCTTTTCAATTTTTCAGAAACTAGCAAAAGATACACGGAACATATCCTGAAAAGGCTTTCAGAACTCATTCCAGCAAAGGGGTGGGAGATCCTTCATCACCAAGCCAACCTGCTGTCCCCATGGCATGCAATAGCAGAGGTTATGGATCTCCTCAGAAGTTGCATGTTTGGCACCTGGAGCTGCCCAAGCACCGTCTGCCTCAGATCTGTGACAAAGTTTGTGAATGAAGCAGCTTTTTACTGTCAGTTTCAAGTGACTTTTTGCAGTCAGTTTCAAACCCTCCAGGATGCACCTGAGTGTCACCATTGGGGACACCCAGCCCACGCTCCACTGGAGCCCTGTGCCCGACACACATCTGTCACCACAGGGGTGGAGGGACAGTGCCATGCCCAGCCCTCTCCCCAGGGACACAGCAGCCCGCGGCCAGCAGCCACACTTGGCTACACGTGGCCAGGACACACAGCAATGAATCCCGAGCTGGCCTGCAGGAGAGCTCTCCGGCCTACAGGAGAGAAGGGCTGGGGACATGTCGGGGGTAGCTGCTCCCTCAGTGCCCGGCTGCTGGCACAGGGATCCAGCACCCTCTACAAGGCCCAGCTCAGGGGCACACACAAGCACGAGGCTGTCCCAGCTCGGCTCCACACAGCGAAGGGTTCATTTACCCGAACTGCCAGGAATAGAAAATTCAGCTGCCCTCAGCGTGACCTCTTTTACAGTTATAGTGGAAAATACAACTGCGGTTCCCAGCACCTGCAGCAGCTCAGAACGGGGATAATAAGATCAGCAAGGCCTCCTGCCCCGTGCTCTGCGGCCCGGCCCCGCAGCCTGCCACAGAGGGGAGTGCTGGCTCAGCACGGTGAGGCTCCGGCTTTGCCCAGGAGGCTGCAGGCGGGAGCCCTGCTGCCATTCCACCGGCCCTGCCCTGTGCCAGCCGCCCTGCCCGGCCTGCTCGACCAGCCCAGAGCCGGCTCCCCGGCGAGATGCTCCTCCTGGGTGGCTTGGGCGGTTGTCCCCATTTAGGGTTAGAGGAGGAGGAGTCCTGCCTCCTTGCCATAGTGGCCCTCTGATGAAGGCACAAATGCCTAGACCCCTCTGGCGGCTGCTGTGGCCGAGGCGTGGGTGGACTCACAAGCTGAAAACACTATTGGAGCTGCTGGGCTTGCACCGAAACAGTCAAACTTCCCACCTTCTTCATCAGGTTCAGCAGCAAACAGGGGAGAAGAGAGTTTGAGGCAGGGAAGGGACATCCCAGCCTCATCCTTTCTCTTTCAAACCTACCTACATCCCTTGATAATCTCCTTATCCAAAGTACTTTTGTAATCTGTATGCAAAGGAGCATACAAAGGCGATGAGGAAAGTGTGAACTAGTGACAAGGGCCTGTGTGGTGCTCCAAAGGCCAGGGTGCAGCTGGCACCACGTGCCCCAATGTCCCTGTCCCTGAAGGAGGAGAGGAGAGACTGTCCATGGTGGGTCAGGTGAGACAGGCTGAGGCCAGCAGCCCACAGCCACAGAAGCACAAGCTAACTGAACTGCACCCCTTGTGAGACAGCACAGAAACCTTTTCTGCTGAGAACACTCCATTTTATCCAAAGAAAAGCTTATTTTCCGCCAAAACAAGAATAATGAAATCACAGTTTTCTATCCAGAAAATGTTAATGGAAAATTTGTGCCCAGCTATGAATACAGATTGGAGATATTTGGATTTCTGAGGAAAGGAAGGTCAAGTCATTTTCACAGTGTGAAAAATGAAGCTAACAGAGTTCATATTTCTCTGTGAAGCAATGATTGATTTTTCTTTCTGTGCCTCATTCATACAGAACTAAACATGTATAGAGAACAAACTTACACCTTAGATAAAGCACACAGATTACATTAATACATTGACAATTAAGTTAATATTAGCATCTGTTTGAAGGTAGGAACAAGAACATTTAGCTCAACTCTGTGAGAAGAGGCAGGAGTTGGCATAAATCTTATGTATCCTAAAGCTGCTATTTCACAAAAAAAAAAAAAATCACCATTGAGATGTGCATACGTAAAGTAGGAACCCATCATGTTCTGCCTCTATGGCTAAATTTCCTCTTTGGAAGTACATAAGGATTTTAGTTACTGAAAGGATGTTGTTACTCAATTTCAAGTGTGTGTGTATAGGCAATCTTTATTTTCCTACCATCTTAATTGTAATTATCAACTCTGTGCTGCCTGAGCAATTCATTTAACTGTGCAGAACTATTCTTATTAGAGTTGCTACCCCTATTTTATGAAACAAGATTAATTTAAAATAATAATTGCTTCTAGAAATATATTGGTAATGTATTCTTACTATAAGTAGGGGGAATGTTTTCATGTCCTGTTGAATAATCCTTCCTTCAGTAAGTTTCTCTAGACTCCTTTAGGAAACATGTCTTATGTTAGGATGTGTCCACAGCTACCTGCCAGGACACACTGAGTTTCACCACACTCAGATCCTATAAGGCTCACAGTGGATATTAAAAGGTCCCACAATGATTAGATGTGAATTGGCCATTGGGGTTTTCAGTTCTCTCTTTTGATACCTCTCTGTTTCTCAACCATGTGTCACCAAAAGCCCCGGGAATGCCATTCAGGTGGTGAGAAAATCCTCCCTGATACAGGTTGCAAACTAATGCTTTCAAGAGATGCACATTGATAACTCAGCAGTCGTGCTAGAAGTGTTTTGGTGCTTAGACTGTGACACTGTGTGACCCTACCTGACCAAGGCCCAGCTCCACTCGATATTTTGCCACTGTCAGAAAAATGAAGAGGAAGAAAGGCAACAGCAATAAGATTCCTGTTTATTGCTGTCAAAGAGCACATTAGCCAGGCAGCTCTTAAAACACTGTCAGGGTAGTCTAAACTTTCAAAACCAGGTAAGACAGAGACTGTAGTCAAATGCTCCAATAAACTTCAAACAAGTAACCAAAAAGATCTACTGGAAAGCAGATGCAAATCAGCTGTGAAAAGCAAAAGGGAGAATTACAGAACTAGGAATCTGGAGGGCACCACTGACCAAAAGCACAGAGGGTTTATGAGAAAAAAATCAAAACCAACTTGACTTTCGAGTCGACATTTCATTAATTAATTAGAATCATCACAGTTTGATTTTTCTCTGCCATCCATCCCCCGTCTTTTTTTGTTA